AACTGCAAGAAATCACCTCAGCCTCTCTGCCTCTGCATCTGGGTCCTCTATCCACAACCAAACTCTGACATTTAAAAGTTTAAAGTGTTTGTTTGCATTTGATCTGTTGATCTTTACTGTTAACTTATAATGTAAAACAAAAACATTTAAACTCAGCTGCATGTATATTACATCATAAATATTAATTTCAAAGAAGCTCATCATTTATTTTCTTTTTAAGTAGTTTAATTTAAAAAATAGGCCTTGGGCCACATTATTGTATTATATCATGATATGCAGGATTTTACATCACTATTAATTATTTAATATTAAAAAGATAAATTATGGATGAAATAGTTCTATGATTTTAACCAAAGCTTAAAGGGGAATTTCGTTTTTTTTACATTGGGCCCTTGATTTTACGTTATTACATCATGTTCTACTCACCCATATTAGTTTAGTGGTTTGTGGTACACACTCTGCTTTGTTTTTAAAACATATAAATATAAAAAATATAACTGTGGATGTCTAAGGGACAGTGTTTCTCTACATGTTCTGAATGCTGGCGTACCATAAAGAATAAATGATGAACAGTTTAGTTTGTGCCTTCAACTCATTGCCCATAGGAAGACGTTACTTGGATATAACCTAACGGAATATCTTCAGAACGGCTCCAAATGACACTAAACTCACATGGGTGAGTAGAACATGATGTAAAATCAAGAGCCCAATGTAAAAAAAAAACAAAGTTTCCCTTTAAATCAAAACTTTTTTGTTTATTTTACAGTTTAGATTAAAATATCCTTCAAAGATGAAGCAGAAAAGCTGAAAATCAGGAGATACCTGAGGAGAAGATTTCCTCTGCTGCAGCAACCGAAGCAAAATTGGAGACCAGCAAAAACCAAGCAGCTATTATAATCTAATTATCTAATCTTTAATCAAACATATGGAAAATAAAGCTGCTGCAATGATTGGATGAGTTTCTTTTTTTTTTTACTGAGAATGCAGTAGTGTAGTTTCACAGGCCAAAGCAAAGGAGATTAAAAATCCAACATTTAAAAGGATAAAACTACTACAGTAGTTTATTTGTAATTTTAAGGAAAAATAATAAAAAAACAATAAAGAAGGAAAAGTTATAAAAACAAGCAATTTAAAGGTTCACATAGTTTATCTAAAATATTAAAGGTGTCATATAATGCAAAGCCGAGTTTCCATTGTC